AGCGTGTACCACATTTATCCGGATCCGCGCGGACGAAACTCACGTGAGACGTCCATGCAACGGCCGGCACCGCGTGCCCGGGCACTTGGCGTAAGATGCTGCATGCACAAGCGATCTTAATGCTCGTCCCAAAAACTGCCAAATCTCGGAAGTGTGGCCATCGACAGGAACGGACATTTAAAGATATCTTTCAAACGAGCTTTGAAATGTCTTTATTAATGTCTTTATTAATTAACGAATACTATACGGCACTCCCGAACGCGATGGGTACCTTTGGTTGTCCCGTCTTTAGGGTCTGTACTCTCTAAAAATTAATCAGTGCATCATTACTGTAAATCAGTGAATATTCATTGTTTTCAGTAATAAACCACTGAGTGATTTTTAGAGAGTAACTCTTCAGGGTACTTAAGCCCCTCCACCACGACAAGGTAGTACCCGAGGAGGGGATTATCAACAAGAAGCTGTGCAATTACATATGTGTATATACAGAAAAATGAATATTGAATGAACATAAATTAGTGTTGCTATTTAATGCACGATGTGAGAGAGATTCATCCAATCGAAAGATTAATTCGCACTCTCGATCTTGGGATAAAATCACTTTTCTCGGAATTTATCAATAATGCCTCATAAACTAATAATCCGAGATAAGCCATTCTTATCTCGTTAGAAGCGCTGAAATCTTAGCTTTCCAACGAGACCAAGATCATCTTCCTACGATTTTTCTGTGCGGAGATATTGTCGATTATATCGACTCGCGATCTCGATCTCGGGACAAAATCAATTTTATTTTTGTAATTAATTATTGAAACCTCGTAAACTAATGATCCGAGATAAGCGATTCTTATCTCGTTGGAAGCGCTGAAATCTTAGCTTTCCAACGAGACCAGGATAATCTTGCTACGATTTTTCTGTGCGAAGATACTCACGATTCTATCGACTCGCGATCTTAATCCCGAGACAGCAGCAGCAGACGCCGCGTATACACGGCGTCTCGCGCGGTGTCTGGCGCGGCGGTGTTTACTAGCGAACACCTGTGCCTCGTATGTTTTTATGCCAGTTTTTTGGGGACGTAGTACGCTCGCATACTACTCGCGTAAAATTCGCGCGGCCTTGACTTATGAATGGTGCGCGCGCGCCCGATTTTTAAAACGCTATAACTCGGCGAAAAATAGACGTAGCGACACGAACCAAAAACCAATCTTCTTCGTTTCGCATCCCGCAACTGTCTAGGTTGAGTATGTATGCTCTTATCATGAAACTGACGTACGACAATAGGATAAAAAGTAAAATACTGAAATATAAATTATACAAATAATTGCTAAAAATTTTTCTAACAAAACAATTATGTTAGACTGTATAGCAAATATGTTAAAATTTAATTTTTTATCATTAATCGTCATATTTTATTGACATGCTTTATTTCTATTAGCATTTTGGTATAATTAAATGTATTAGATTTTGTATCAAACTTGTACTCTTTTTGCCAATAAAATTTATAACACGCACTGTTCTGGATATATAAACCAGATGTAAAAAGTTGATGTAAATATCATGCAGATAATTCATGTTACTGTAATTTTGAATTTTACAGCACAATCTTGAAAAATAGGTGTAGCGTGGACGCCCACCCGTTGGAACATCCGGAATCGCCATCGCGACTCGTATATCGATAGTTCGATATATCGCTGCGCGGCTGCGCACACGTCATCGCGCAATGCCGTGTTCCGTCCACGGGCTCCATTTGGCATTCGCTGGTGTTAGGCTTCTGCCTCGTTTCGTTCGATCGGGAACGTGATTCCTCGTCTCTCTCGCGGGCAAATTATTCCACGAAACCTACGCATTTTGCGCGCCGGCCACGGCTCGGAAAGTAAAATGACGGAAAACAAGACGGAATTCGTAAGTACACCCATGTATGCCACGGTCCTCCGACCCGCCTGAGTCGAACATAACCTCTACTCTCTCTCTGTTTGCAATGATTATACGCGGTGTAAAATCCCTTATTTTCTTGGCGTACTAATCGTTTCCAATTTTATCTAATTAATTCCTTCTGACTCGGGACGTAATAAACGTAAGATTCTCTCGATTCCGAATTTGCGAGACTGAAAGGAATAAATGTCTGTATCTACATACATGTGTAACTTGCGTGGGATTTTGTATTACCATTGTAAACATTGTACTTGCGTTTATAAATGCATCCTTTTTCTAAAAGACGCTGTTACTAATATTTATAGCTATTACTGCGAAAAGAATCGATAGAATCCGTGTCGAGATGCTGCGTAGGTATTTTGTTTCAGACGTTTCCTTAAGAAAAGTATTTAGTGTATACAAATTAATATTTGCATTGTGTTGAAGTTACATGTATCTCTTGAAATTTCTTTTGCAGGACTGGGGGAACGAAAAGTTACAGCGCGCTCAGAAGACCGTCGACGAATCAACATACGACTTGGAAGCATGGAGCATACTTATAAGGGAAGCACAGAACAGACCGATCATAGAAGTGAGACCAGTGTTTGAGAAGCTTGTCTCAGTGTTTCCGTCGGCTGGACGTTATTGGAAAATTTACATAGAACAAGAGGTAACGTGTTCAATTTTAAAAGAAAATAACTATAGAAACTGTTTCAATGAATCATTTAATATCATAATACTAAAAAGATCATTTGTTATTCTATTTAAAACTATGTTTCGTAACAAAATTTTAATCTGTACATCTTGTTTGTTTCTCTAGATAAAAATGCGGAACTTTGAAAAGGTGGAAAAGGTATGTTAATGTTAATTCTATGGATTTGTATGTTTAGTGTAAATAAGTTTATATATATATCTCTCTCTTTATATATATTATTAATTAAATTAGCTCTATTCCCAAAAATATTTAAAATGACACATAGAAAACTCCATTTATGCAGGTAAATAAATTAAGCATCAATATAAAACATAAAATGCTTGATAAATTAAAGTATCCTCACAATAAAATTTCTTTCCTTCGTTATAATCAAAATCGTTGAAATTTGTATCCATAAATATTAAAAAAAGATATTTTATATAATTTTCTCTCCCCATATTAATTGACTAAAATCATTAATCAACCTAATCAATAGACGCGTTGTAAAGTTAATTCTTATCGAGAACGCTATTTTTACAGAATGGATGTTCCTATTTTGTTTTGTTGCTGTAATATAACGGGCTAGAATTTTAGGATATTACTAACATGCAACGTCCGAATATTATCATATAATGTGATTCTAAGCACTTTGCATATTATATGAGGTGAATAAAATGACTATTTCACCACAAACCAATTATTTCATTGATTAATAATCGATCTTTTTACATATTTGGGAGGTTGTTTTCTTTGGCCATTATTTGTATCATTTGCCGTAAAGTTTATTTCAAAGTAGTCAGTGCTGTTGTAATATCCAAAGAAGACAACTTTCTGAATGTAATAGCCTTATATTCCTTCCTGCAGTATTGTTTTCTTTTACTTTGTGTGCTTAAGATGTGTTAAATCGATACTGGGTCGATTGTATATAAATAATATTGCAAACTGGATGGCCCTTATAATAAGTAAGATTCGAGTTATATTTATGTAATATCAGATCCTCAAGCAAATCACAGTACATTGAGGAATATGTTGGGTCAACTACGAATACGGAAAGTCTCCACTCTCTACACCTTCCTTTTAGCAATATTTGAGAAAATATAATATAGATAAAAGCTCAAATATTGCAGTAACCTTTAGAAGTAGCATAAGGTGATGAAATAATTAAATTGTAGATATTTAATTATTTTTCTTCATTCTATATAGTTATTGTTGATTGTTAGTGGAATACATCAGCACCATTCTCTGTAATCACTTTATGCTGCTTCACGTTGTCTTAATTTTTTTATAACGTCTTGGGATCACTCATTTCTGGATCCCACATAGGTTCGTTCTTATATAATTGGCCCCACTTGCAGAAAATAAATAAATTTTTCATTTTGTGGGGCTTTTTCGTTATATAAAACAACGTTTATATTTTATATACGAAACATTAATATTTCTCTCCTTATTGCTAATAAATCATATATTTATATAATAAACTATTCTCAATTGATGCATTGGTGCATTATTATTTATCCCAGACTATTGTTATTAGTGACTGTATCATTAAAAATTCTCTTAATAAATTCTGCCTGTTATTTCCTGCGATACAAATGTACAATTTATCCCGTGGGTTAAATTAGAAATGTTTAACTATGTGTATAAATAAAACTTGCCTTTATGGGTAAGTAACTTGGTGGATATATATACGTATATATCTTCCTTTGGGACAGAGCTTGTGTGAAGTCTTATATTTACAGCGTCTGGTTGCCATGATATAGTCATTTCTAAAATGCCTCTTTTGTCTGACAGCTTTTCCAAAGGTGCCTCATGAAAATATTAAATATTGAATTGTGGAAACTATATCTTTCTTATGTCAAAGAAACGAAAGCGAGTCTAGCTACGTATAAGTAAGTAACATGGAAATATTTTCTCTTCAAATGTCTAATCCCGATGCGTAAGCATCGTTTATATTTTTGCATTTTTTACCAACCGACATTAATTATGTAGTTTGAGGGAAATTACTTTTTCATTCGTTTTTCTTTTACTGGGTTTTACGACGAGAGAACATAATTGCGATATTTTTCCAGGGAAAAAATGGCACAAGCGTACGACTTCGCCCTGGATAAAATTGGCATGGACATACATTCCTACAGCATTTGGAATGATTATGTCATGTTTTTGAAGAGTGTTGAAGCGGTCGGGTCATATGCGGAAAACCAGAAAATTAGTGCTGTACGAAAGGTAATACGCTACACTACAAAGTACTTTTGAGTATTTCATTACAAGAAAGAAATCAATCTAATCTATTAATTTCTATTAATTATTTAAAAATATTAGATTCGAACTCCAAGAAACGATTCCCTATATCTCTCTAAGAAATAATTAATCATTGTTTATAAAACACGCAAAAATTATAGTTTATGATATCGTGATATTTAAAAATAATTCTCGATGAATATTATATCGTAGGTCTATCAACGAGGCGTCATTAATCCCATGATAAATATGGAGCAATTGTGGAAGGATTACATGTCGTTTGAGCAGAATATTAATCCAATAATAGCGGATAAAATGGCTATCGAGAGGTCTAGGGACTATATGAATGCCAGACGTGTCGCTAAGGAATTGGAAGCAGTTACGAGAGGTTTAAATCGGAGTGCACCCAGCGTCCCTCCAACTGGTCATCCCGAAGAAGTCAAACAGGTACTCTATGTGGTCCTAAGCCTATTATTCTTTCCTTTTTTTATTAAAACCAATCTTCAGTATCAACTGCAATATATTCATTATACAATATATTATATTTAATATATTTTTACCAAGGTTGAACTATGGAAGAAATATATCGCGTGGGAACGCAGTAATCCTCTAAGAACAGAAGATACATCGCTGGTCGCTCGGAGAGTTATGTTCGCAATCGAACAGTGTCTCTTATGTTTGGGACATCATCCTGCGGTGTGGCACCAAGCGGCGCACTTTTTGGAGTTGAGTTCGAAGATACTGACGGAAAAAGGTGACGTGAATGCGGCAAAGAATCTCAGTGATGAGGCTGCTACCATGTTCGAGAGAGCGACAAACACGTTGTTGTCAAAGAATATGTTGCTATATTTTGCGCACGCAGACTTTGAAGAGGGTAGAGTGAAATACGAGAAAGTGCATCAAATATATCAAAAATTTCTCGATATACTTGACATAGATCCTACTTTGGTTGGTATATATATATATACACACACACACCCTTGCGCATATTAAATAATCATATTGATAACATACTAAATTGTTTCCATCATGCAGGCATATGTGCAATACATGAAATTTGCGAGAAGAGCCGAAGGCATAAAGTCTGCGAGGACAGTATTCAAACGAGCACGAGAAGATATAAGATGTAAACATCACGTTTACGTTGCCGCTGCACTAATGGAATACTATTGCACTAAAGATAAAAACATAGCATTCCGTATATTTGAATTAGGGTTAAAGAAATTTGGAGACAATCCGGATTATATTCTTTGTTACATAGACTACTTGTCACATTTAAACGGTAAGAAAAAAAATAGATTTTTATAGAACTTTTAAGTGCTTCTAAATTGCATTGTTGTATATGCTATTATTGTATATTATTGCAGAGGATAACAATACAAGAGTCCTATTTGAGAGAGTATTATCTTCTGGCTCTACCTTAGAGCCAGAAAAATCAGTGTACGTATGCACGTATATTATAAATTTCACGATATCATAAACTATAATTTTTGCGTGTTTTATAAACAATAATTAATTATTTCTTGCAGAGATATATGGAATCGTTTCTTGGAGTTTGAATCTAATATTGGCGATCTAGCTAGTATCGTCAAAGTCGAGAAGAGACGAAGTGCAGTACTGGAAAAGGTTACTAGTTGTCTCAGTTATAGCTTATTACAATATAGGAAATAATGTACAACTATCATTAAAATTATTTGTCTATTCTATTAGATTAAGGAATTCGAAGGAAAAGAAACTGCCCAATTAGTAGATAGATATAAATTCTTGGATTTATATCCATGCACCCCTATGGAGCTAAAGTCAATCGGATACATGGACGTTTCTAGTGTGGCTAGAAACTCCATTGGTGTTATACCCCGCGTACCTGATCCAGAGGAAGCGATTGCCGCTTTGCCCAGACCTGATTTGTCACAAATGATACCATATAAACCGAAAGTGAATCCTTTGCCTGGCGAACATCCGGTGCCAGGTAAATCGTCGAATATATCCCTGCTTATGTTTTATCAAATATAAGCCAGTAAGCCATATATGATTATATTTGTTATTTTGTCGTAGGTGGTTCCTTTCCGTTACCACCAGCTGCAGCTCAATTGTGCACCATATTGCCACCACCTGGCTGCTTCAGAGGCCCATTCGTTGCTGTTGATTTACTGATGGATGTCTTCAGTAGAATTCAATTGCCCGATCATGGTACATATTACCGTATTTATAAATTCTTATCTTTAAGCACAGCGCGTTATACAAAATCAAAATTTACAGCTCCACTGCCAGTGGCGGATAACGGATGCGACACTAAGTTGTTTGATCTTGCGAAATCTGTGCATTGGATCGTCGACGAGAGTAATGACGGCGTGAGCATCGGATCGAAACGGAGACGAACGCGTTTGGGTGGTGACGATAGCGAGGAAGAAGATTTGCCGCCCCCACCGATAAACGATATTTACCGCCAAAGACAACAGAAACGAGTTAAATGAATGAGAGAAATCAATGGTACATGGTAGATATATATATATATATATATATGAATGTATAATATGTATGATGATTCATAATATCGTAAGAGTATTTTTATGATTTAATTTCTCATTATTGCTCGTTGATGCAAGAAACAGACGTATCATTAACATAAAACACACATTACATCTGTAAAGTTATTAAATTCCTTATGTGACACTGTGCACGACATTTCGAGTACTATGTACTCAGAAACCTTATCATTGCGTCCTTTGGTTCTATGTGTATGCAATTGTTTATGGTTAAATATATTTTTTTAAATATACTGATATATCAGTTCATATACTATATAAAAAGAAAGAAAATAGGTACTGCCTACTTATAGATAGGCGAATTTCTGTGATTTGTGTGTAAGATCAACCAAGACTATCTCAAGTTTATCAGATCAAAAATATGGTTAGACAACTGTAATGAGATTACACTAAAATTATCATTGTACAAGACGATGGACGCAATTTCCTTATAAATTTTGTTTGTAAGTATTGTCAACAAATCGCATTTAATATTTCTACTTTGTGAACAAACTTCTACGCCAATATTCATTTAAGACTTATGTAATTTGTCGTACAGGACCAATAAACGATTAATGTGATACTACATTATCTCATCGTAATTTGGCTATTGTGTCTATATCCATATCCCACTTAAGTTTTGCGCGCGAGTAGAACTTGAAATTCAATCTTTGAAATTGTGGACCATGCCACAGAATCTATAAATAGGAATATACCATCTAGTTCACTGTTTGGAAAATTTGAAAAGAGTTTTCATTAATTTTATCACTTTGAAGATTACTAGGAAAATTACTAGTTGCACCATGATATGGTCGGTTAACAGATTGGGGATATTAACGCCTCAATGAAGTAAATAGTTCGTCATCAGCGCTTCTCGCGGGGGTAGACTTTGTTAGCAGGTACAACTTTACGATAAGGGTGCAATTAAACTTTGATTACTATTCCTAGTTCGAGTGGCTGGTAATGGCCCCCTTGGGTTAACGGTAAATTGGGCTGCGGGCTTCGAAAATAGTTAGTGTCCGCAGTTAGACCTGCACCGAAAACTTGATAAACGACCGAAATCTGCACGAAACCGCATCAGTTTGTCAACCGTTTCCACAAATTTTAGAGATACTATTTTAGGGGGAAAAAAAAGTTGATTCGCTAAAAACTGAAAAGACCTCGAGGCACTAATGTTACAGAAGTTAACGTAGATTTTCACTCGATTTTTCATTAGTTTTAAGATGGCATATCACGATATTTTATTAGCTAGTTTCAATAATAAAAATTATTCATAAAGAATGCACACGTCTGTGTGCGGGTCAAACTTAGCGTTAAAAATAGTTTTAAATATATCCATATTTAATTCATAATAAATTATTATATATAATACAACTTTTTAAATAAAAATAAATCAGAAGCGCGAGGTAACAATCCTTTTTCGGACAAATGGTAATAGAAACGATTAATAATCGGCCGACACTTTAACTTTGTGATAAACTTAAATGATTGTTTTAAGTATTATTAAAAACTTATTTCCCCGTTTAATTTAAATCGCAAAATTCGAAATAATTAGGGTCTACCTTTCTACAAAACACCGTTCAACGCTTACGGACAGACCGACAAACTTTCGAGCGACATGGCAAACTCGCAGTTAACTATGGGGGGTACATTGGCCGCTTTATCGTCTTAATTACTACCGAATGAAGTGCATGCGATGAGCGGCGAGAGGGTATCCAAAGTCTATTACGCGCACATAAATCCTGAGCGTTTGACGCGTAACTACGGCATACTTGCGCGTCCATCTATCTTGGGTTGGGATACCTCGCACTTGTACTCTTCTGGAACGGCCTGCGCCATCGAGATTCCCCCTGATGAGCGTAACGCGTCCCCTCTTGGGAAATCGATGTTGCAGTCCGGTATGACTAATTACGCCGGCTCGTTCATCATATTTCGATAAGCACGACGTGATAACGCGTACAAGGGAAATATCCTTTCTTTTTAATACATCAACATAAAATCGCCAATTTTCAAGTCAAACTGTTCTGGTACGCTATACCGATTGACTTTAACGTATAAACAGCAAAACTGATCCCGGATTTATTAAAAGATACGCTATTAATGCGAAAATAACCGTTCTATGTACCGCTAATAAATTGCTACGTTACGCGTACAACTTACTACGAGTACGTCGACAGCTATCCCGAGTATCGTAAATTTCTTATATAGTAATGCTGTATTTTCGAGTGAATAGCAAATACGGAAATTCTGGCAAGCACCTGGAAACCGCGAGAGGTTCAGGTGTTTCAATGCGGATTCAATAACGCGCTGACACAGCACTTAAATATATATCCTTTCCGTGTATACATCAAGAAAGCTTTTACCCGCAGCTGCGAGGAGACTGTTTCTTGCGCGATAAATGAATTATCAAAGATTAACGCACCGAATGTGTTAGATTGTGTCGCTTAAGGACTACAGCGACTATTGTAATATAGGGATTTATGGCAGCTTCAATAATTGCTTCGATGTTATTCCAATAATTTAATTCTAATGATAATCACTTATTTCATTTAATTCTAATAATTATTATTTTACTATTACTTCCGTAATTACCAATGTAATTAATCCGATAATAATTATATTATAATATTGTAATGCGCGAAAATGGTATCGCGTATTAAGAATTTTCTAAATTTTTGCTTTTAATTAACAGAGCAAAAATAAAAAGTGAGATTTCGCTATTTCGTTTTATCCATGTACAGAATCAAACCTGTATGTAAATAGCTTGTTGTTTCTGTTATCTCTCTCATTATCATTAATTAGATTATATGCACAGTTGGAAAATTTGTGTCTTCTCGTTAAAGAAAATGACGGTTAAAATTTTTGTGTTAAATGTTTAACACATTCATCTGTTCATTTAACATATTGCTCTTGTGTTAATTGGCCTCAAATGTAAAATTATTAAAATATTTGAAAAGAAATGTTAAAACAACACAATGTGTACTTATTTTTCATTTTACACAATACATATGTTCTATATTATTAGTAACAAGATTTATTCGTTAAAATTTGCAGAAAAAATGTTGATTTTATTCTAAATAATAGTATAAGTGAGAGTGATTTCGAATCGTCATTTCACTTATTACATCTGTAAAATGTAAAAATTAAATTTTTTAAAATTCATTTTGTCATTAAAAATATGTTAATTTTACACAAAATTTATTTCAAATTATTTTGAGATTTGCATTTATTTTGTGTTAAAATATTAACATAGTATTAGTGTGATCATTTAACATATCCATATTATGTTAAATTAACACAAAAATTTGTGTGGGCCGTTTGGGACATGTCATATTTGTTAAATTTAACACGAATTTTTCAACTGTGTACAGCTTTTTCTCAAATGTTTGCTGCATTCGGTTATTCATAAAAATGCATATACACGAATGTCCGCCGTGTACCGGATCCGTGCGAATCAGTCGTCTTAGCATCTCAATTTTTGCTAACAATAAGTGATGTGCGATCCATTTCAATCTAAATTAATTTTTGGAGGGTTCAAAGCCTAAGAAATAAAATGATAGCTTTACACAGTAATTTGATCTTGCTTTCTCTCATGATTTCCTCTCAATAATTACGATGCAATATTTACGAGGTTCGTATGCCGCAGTTGGAATTTAATAGGAAGCAATCGACGATCAAATGTATCAATATGTGCACATAAAGTATTTCCTGGCTAATAATATTTATTTTATTACGATATGATCGCATATTGAATTCATGTCTTACGATATGCAGCATGCAAATCGATGGTCCATACGCGTTATATGATTCGTACAATGTGCGAATATTCGACATGATAATTTACGATTGCTTTATGATTACTTTTTGCGGTATATTTCAACTATGGCTTCCGCCAGCTGGAAACAGCTTCGGGATTATGTGTAATTAAATAATGCAAGCCGAAGCGCAGCGGTAGATGGTTAAAAGCACTGAATGCATATTTCGTATGCATATTTCGTATTCATATTTCATCCTGAAAGACGAACCAACGTAGGCAGAAAGGGGTTTTTAATCATGAAATTTACAGAGATGGAAGGATTAAAGGCGATTATGAACAAAGGACGATTGCGAAATCACTATTTAATTATTCGGTGAAAAGTTTTTGTCACTTTTGATTCACGTCGGCGAGCTACAAAGCTGATCTCTTCTGTCGGAAAGTTCGGGAATAAAACCAGCATGGTACCCCTGATTTTTCTCCGTTCTCGCGACAGGGACGGCAGAGAGAATTAGGATCTATCTCGCCATTACGTACGACCGGCTCGATTTACTCGACTCCAACTATCGGGACGTATATCGTCCCGCGCGACGTTAACGAAGATTTTACAAACTGACGCCGCCATTAATTCTGCAAGCGCGAAAATTTAGGGAGACGTCGGCCCCGCTACTCGCCCGGGACGCGACTTGGGGCGGTCTTTGAAACTTTGGTTCTATCTCGGAGGAAGACAAATGACAAGAGCCGAAAGCAGCAGGTCCCGGTTCGTACTCGGCCTTTCATAGAACGCTAAAGCATAACTCTCGTACTTGGTGGTGTGTACAGGACCACTCTAAAATAGAGCTCGCGTAAGAGTAATTTCTTCCTCGCATCGGTAACGACAAGACTAGTAACGACCGCGATCGTCCTCCCTTCGACAAACTCTCAAATTCTGTCCAAGGTAGACGACTCTGCGTGCACCCGCAGAAGAAATTTCCGGATCCAATGCTATTACACTTCAGTGTATCATAAAATAGGATCGATATAGCACCAATCATATTTATTATAGAGAAAGGAGTATTTTAATTTTCAATGAAAAATTCTAAAATATCCAGAATAAAATGATAGTATGTATCGTCTTTTGTCGAATATCGTGGTGCCAACAGGGAAAATTTATTCCAAACGCAAGACTATATAAACCTTCATTTATACAAGTTACTCTTCCCATACAGCACGTATGTCTTAAAGATGCCTTTTAGACATACTATACGTGTTGTTTGGGTTGTCTCAATATAGTAAGTCAATTTTTTTTAATTTGATTTTATTCCGATATTGTCTTATTTTTAGACGAAATAAGGCTGTGAGAAATATAAATGAATTAGGAATATTTTTGTCTCAATAATAGAAATTCTTTCTGAGGGAGCGTCGATCGCGATTTCAGAGTTGCCAAATTTGTCCCATGGATGAATAATTTGCTCGACAACGAGAGCATGAAATGCTTTTCCGAGAGTTTCAATTTTTCACATTATAATATAATTGTAATTCAGTTCGCACCTCACCATATATTTATGGGAAATCTCTGATCCACGTATGTAATCTCTTATAGCGAATTCGGTTGGTTGCACTAGTGCACACTGAGTGCACACTAAGCCTTGTTTACAGTCAATTCATATATTTAAAGATAATCTTAAATACCTTTGGCAATATTTCTTATCCAGAAAAGTGGTCTGTTTACACCGATCATTTTTTGACTGAATACTTTTTGAACATGTATTTAAGACAAAGTTAAATATAAGAACTGACTATAAACAAGCGCCTTAGTGTGCACTCAGTGCGTACTAGTGCAAGCAACCGAATTCGCTATTAGA